TGGTGCACAGGGTCATGAAGAGTCGGACACGACTAAATGACTAAACAACAACAATGCTCTGTACATGTTAAGAGTCTCTTTTTCATGGTTGTCACCCCATGTGTTACAGGAACTGTCGCTAATAGCAGGCTCTGGGGCTCAGGTGCACCAACTTGTCTTCTCTGACAAACCCTTTTTGCTTATATTTTCCTGGATGCAATGCAAGGGCAGAGGAAGATGATTTATGCCCAAAGACATTGTAAAGGAATGTGCTCAGAACAAACCAGCTAGGAAAAGTATATGAACAGATAAAATAGCAAGTCATGAATACACACATGCACAAACCACCCCACATTTAGTAAGGCTCATGAGTGATCCGTAATTCGCTTGTAACATATAGCACCACTGGGATTTGAAATCACAAAGCCAGGAGACACATTTGATAGAAGAATTGATGTTAAAGAGACAACTGTTTGGTACTTCATAGGCAATCCCATAAAATTATATGAATGAAATGCCCTTTATTCTTAAAGCTTACGGCCAATGTCAGATTAGTGAAATGTGAATAGTGGCACATCTCTTACGCTGTTGCACAAATGCTTATACAACAAAAAGTGTAGTGGGTGCTGTTCTTGCATCATCTCTGCAAACGTACGTATGTCCACCAGTACAATGGACCTTGCACTAGTGCAATGACACCATTGGATATAAGCCCAAGAGAGCCATAGCAAGTAATAAAATTTGTCTATAGATTGGCTCAGACTGAAGCTAGAGCCTAATTCTCTTTTGTTGCCTCCCTCTTTCAATAGAGGAAGGAAGGAAGGAAGGAAGGAAGGAAGGAAGGAAGGAAGGAAGGAAACAGCATGGATTTGTAGATGCTACTTCAGATACACAGAGGCAAATTTAGAAACAATTGCTTAAATAGGGATAGCCATGTTTTCCATTCTAATGAGAAAGACTTCCATTATCTTCACCTTTCTTATTGCAAACCTCCATCAGCTCCTTCTTCCTTATTTATCTGCTATAAACAAGGGAGAAATTCTCACTGGAGAGATCTACAAGAAGGCTCTGCCCATATTTTCTGGACTATTGCAACAACAGCATCATAACAACAGTTTTCCTAGGTCATCTTATCTTTTGTAGCTTTGGGGCACCTAGGAAATCTACATTCACAGCAGTACCTGGCACCCAGGCCTTGAGGAAACTGAATTGAGGAGGTGATAGGCAGGCCTCAACACAAATTTACACGGAGACTTTTTACTACCACTGCAAGGTAAGAGAATGAATAGGGGAAGGAGGCTTGTAGAGCAGTGGTTCTTAACCTTGGGTTACTCAGGTGTTTTTGGACTGCAACTCCTAACAGTTAGGGCCATTAGAGTAGGCAGAATAATTTTAATTAACTTAATACGCATAAGCCATAAAAATACATAAGCCATAAAAATTTAGCAAACTTAGGACTAGGCTATACAGGGTGAGGGTGATGGTTCACCCTTTATCATAGTACCCTACCAGCTCTGGTAGCTGCCTCGTGGGAGTCTACTGCCTGGACTGGAATTGCTGGGTGCCTTTCTCTGAATGGATGCCTCCTTATATCCTTCCATCATCCCTGATTTTGGGTGCACCAACAGTGCACCAACACCACCCACAAAACAATAACTGCATCAGATGTGGCCATTCTATCACATGGCACACTGGTTAAATTGCAGTACTGCAGTCGAGACTCAGATCATGACGTGAGTTCGATCCTGACCTCATATAGCTGGCTCAGGATGACTCAGCCTTCCATCCTTCTGAGGTCAGTAAACTGAGTACCCAGCTCACGTGTGTATGTGTGCACGTGCATGTGTGTGCACGCTCATGCATGTGCATGCATGCAAGTTTGGTACCATTTCACTTGATGGTAAATTCTGTGCGATTGAATGTGTAAGGTTTTTTTCTTTTTAGTGATCCAATAAAGGTGTTGCCTAAAACCAAACTTTGCAAGTGCATAAAAATACCTCCAAGATGAATCAGGAAACGCTGGTGCCTGATGGGAATAGATGGAAATATGTGTCCAGGCTTTGTTTGTTTGCTTGCTTGTTTATAATATTTTTTTCTCCCTAAGAAGGCCCCAAGGCATCTTACATAATTAAAAAGGCAAAATTAAAATATTTAAAAGCTTTAAAGGCATCTCTCACAGACAAAAATCAGCTTCCCCTCTTCTGTGCTACTCGGCCTGAGATTGAGGCATTCCAATTTTAATTCCCCTTTCGCCACTTTTAATCATGTGGTATCTTTTTAATTTTAACATTTTTGATCTGACAAGTACAATATCTAATAATAAGGATCTGTATGAGTTGCTAGTTCACTCCATATGTTCCTCTGGCCTCTTTGCTCTGCTCTGTGATTGCCTCAACTCTGCCTACAGAGCCAGGGCATCACAGAAATTCTTCAAGACTTTAGCTGGTGCCCAGAGACCTATCTAGTATAACAAGAACTACACTTCAGATGTTCTCATGGGTTTTTTTTTTTAACAAGAGACAGAGAGCTGAATAAATGTAGAAGTTGAGGCATTTAGAAACACAACACTAGCCACATCCCCTTTCATTCCTTCCATTCCCACACCCAATTTTATATATATATAAAGGAAATTAAGGACATTTTTAAAGAAAAAGGTAGCAGGTTTCCCCAATAAGAAATAAATTTATTTTTGTTTCCACTCAGAGAAAGAGGAAATAACTCTGGTGTCTCTTTGGTTGCTGAGGTAAAATGAAATCAACAATTCTGGAGAACCAGTTTCCAAATATGTAATGGTTGCGTCAAGTAACATCCTTGCAGTATTGATAATTAATACCACCCACTCAGTGACTATCTGTGTACTTCTTCCATGTGTTCCTGAGTCATTCATCTTTTTGGCTTTGGGTTAAAAGCAAGTTATTGGCTCACTGGTGGAATAAATATCTCAGCCTAATGCACACAAAAATAACCTGGGGGGGAACAGCTGCTCCTGCCCAGATGGACAACAGTAAATGCTTTCCCGCTATGCCAGAGTCATTTTTTAAAAATTCTAGTTTTTTAATATCTGTTCATATCCAAGGTTGCCACTGGCATGATTTTGAACACTAGCTAGTTTTTTTGTTTTTTTAATGCCCAGGCTGCCAAACGAAGTGTCCAAACTACATATTATTTTAACATGTCCATTCTGGGGTGTTAAATAGACAGGCAGTCTTCTAGACAGTGGAGGGAGAGGAGAAACTTAATTCTTTTTTTTTTTCTTGCCTTGGTCATGACAAAAAAATTTTTTGTCTCCAGACCTGCTGTTTGCATTTCAAAGAGAGTCTTCCTTGGCATCAGTGGGAGCTTCTCTTGAAATGCAAATACGTACTGTACTGTATTAGCTTTGGAAGAGAGGATTTTGGCTGTGGCCATGGCAGAGATAAAAAGCTAAATAGACTCGCCGGCTGGATCACTCATTGAATTAGGTATCTGACTGCAGAGCCAGAGGCTGGGAGTTCAATTCCCCACTGTGCCTCCAGAGAGAAGAGTCAGCCTGTGTAAGCCACGGACAAGCTGCACAGCCCCAGGATGCTTTTTAAAAAAAACCCTGGAAAGGATCACCATAAGTCAGAATTGACTTGACAGTACATGATGGCCCATGTTTCCTCTCAGCTATGATTTATTTGGCGAAACGTGTCCATTCCCCAGCATTAAGACAAATGATATGATAGCTGATTTGTCTCAAAAAATATTATTATGGTCTAACCCTATACTGCTAACAGCTGCTCAGTCACACTGGTCGACCAGACCAGATGGACAGGATATAAAACAAACAAATAAATAAATAAATAGAGCAACACAGGAACATCCAGGTGTCCAACATTCTGATAACAGGATATCAAACAAATAAATAAATAAATAAATAGAGCAACACAGAAACTTCCAGGTGTCCAACATTCTGACAGGCACAAAATCTTTCAATCAAAGTGACAATGGGTGGGGCTTGTGGGGTTCCATGTAAAAGACAGACAAAATTTTGCCCGTTTTGATTTAAGCACTTTCACCTTGAAAAGTGTGTCTTCACAGTTTCCCAGACTCACAAACAAATAAATAAATAAATAAATAGAGCAACACAGAAACTTCCAGGTGTCCAACATTCTGACAGGCACAAAATCTTTCAATCAAAGTGACAATGGGTGGGGCTTGTGGGGTTCCATGTAAAAGACAGACAAAATTTTGCCCGTTTTGATTTAAGCACTTTCACCTTGAAAAGTGTGTCTTCACAGTTTCCCAGACTCACATTCCCACTGACCATGGGATCTTGGGAGCTGTAGTTCAAAAACCTAACATCTCCAAGTGCTGCAGGTACCCCTGTGGGGGAGTCAGCTCTCCGTCTATGCTCAAAAACTACTTCTAGTCTATGAGTATTCTTTGAAATTGGGGTAGGGTGGCCATGTGAGAGAAAAAGAGCTCCTGGATCTTCTACCTTTAATAGTTGTGTGGGAAAGAGAGTGTTAGCAGGTGTAGCTTGACATGTCGGTGACAGAAATATTCTGCCTTTTTAAAATGCCATCACCCAAAATTTTGGCTAGTAGTTGGTCACAACACAGAGAAACTGTACAGTGTAGAGGCTGTCAAACCTGGCTCTACAATTCCTTTTGGAGGGATATAGCAAACAAAACCGTAAACGCAGTTAGAGAGTTGTCATAGTTCTTTAGCAAACATAGTTGCTTGTTAAAGTATTCCACTGTGAGCTCTCTCTCTCTCTCTCTCTCTCTCTCTCTCTCTCTCTCTCTCACACACACACACACACACACACACACACACACACATTTATTGCTACGGCACACAAAGCCTTATGTTTTTAAATGCTGATTTTCTCAAGCAAAAATGCATAACACATTCAAACTGTTCACCAAACATCAGTGGGGATCAGCTGACTAAATTCATCACCAGGAGCCAGTGCTTATTCATAGTGAGCAATCCATTCTAATACCTAGAGGTGGTTTTTAAACTGAAGTCATCATCACAAGTTCCTACAGTCTGGAAGTCAATCTGTGAAACAACTGCAATTGGTCGTGTCTTCCTCAATTCCACAGTGTCACAAACACCGAGGAAAGACTGGACAGCTGTGGAGGAGAATGTATTCTACACTTCCATTTAGGATACACCTTCAAGCCCGATTGAAACACGGACATTATCAATAAACCTGAGCCATTTTCAGGTTTACACACGTCTTCCTGGTTGTTTCTGTCTTTTTCTCTTGGAGTTTTATCTGAAGATTTTTTATATTATACTAAAATACAATGAAGATTAACTGGATTGCTGACCACGTACAAAGGAACTCAGGATATCTTTATAAAACTGGGTATGTAGAATATATATACTAGAATATTTATTATATTCAGCAGTAAAAACTACTTATGAGGATTGTTCCCTTCTGCAGAAGTTCAAGCCATGCTAGCTAGAACTGAGGAAGTTCTTCATTTCCCCCTTCAACAACACTGGGCTCAGGGGTGCCAGACCCCTATGTCGTTCAAAGTCCGTGTTTAACTCTTATGCCCCCCAAAACGTGACTACAAAGCATAAATAGTTTATTCTTTTACATACACGCACACAGTATCCTCTCCAACCACCATGTGGAGTTACCATGCCAGGATACTGAAAATGTATCTATTGGATGTTAATTTTTATTGATTGACTGAGTGAGTGAGTTAGTGATTATTGAAAAAAAAAAGTATAATCAAAACCATGCTGCTCAAGCCCATGCACTTCAAGGGAGAAGTGTAGTTTTAAAAAATTAGAGTGTGTGTGTGTATTTTTCCTACTAGGAACCTTCTGACCCAATCTAAGCCTGAAAACAGGGTGCACAGATTGTGTGACTGACTTGTCCTGTGCACTTTTAAGCGTTTTAACCACTGCGCCACGAGGCTCAGTCTCGTGTGTCTGCGTCAGTCTTTGTGTGACTGACTTGTCCTGCAATTAGAGTGTGTGTGTGTATTTTTCCTACTAGGAACCTTCTGACCCAATCTAAGCCTGAAAACAGGGTGCACAGATTGTGTGACTGACTTGTCCTGTGCACTTTTAAAGACTCTGACTTGATACTTGTTTGGGTCTATGGCAGAATTTGTAAGATTCCTATTCTCTGTGAAGGCCTCATACCTGCAAAAGGAAAAACATAAAGGGCAAGGCCAGGTGATAAACTACGGGGGGGTGGGGAGAGAGAAGGGCTCCAGTGATTGTTTGCAGAGCTGGATGTTCTGCTTTTTTTTAATTTCTCTCCCTTCAGCTTTATTTTTATTTCTCTAGCTTCTGAAAGCAAACGTTTTAGATGCATTCAGAGCGGTAGTGATGAGTCTTAAGCAGCTGAGAATGAGAAACACTGCGACTCAAGATCAATTCAAACCTACCTTCTCACAGTTTTCTATACCAGCTATGACACAATAAGGCCAAGTTTTAATTTACTGCTTCTGATAAAGGCAAGTAAAATTATATTTTATGCTACATGTAGCATAGATAGGGACTGTTTTCAGCCCCCTGCTCAGAGGTGCTCAACAACAATGACAAAGTTTATTAACAAGTTTATTGACAGTACTGGATGTTTGTCATACAATGTTATTAGTGTTTAGCATTGGATGATACTTAATTACTGATTGCATGTAACATCCTTTAGTACTCCACAGTATTTCATAGATGACAATAGATTTTAGCATTTGGCAGCAGGGCAGATATTAGAAATCATACAGTAGATTTGCCACATTCAGTTGACTTATGTCTTTGCAAATATACAATCTGTGCAAATCAAGCCTTGCAGGATTTAGATAATAATAATAATAATAAATGTTTATTACGGTCATTGACCAGCATTTAGAAATCATTTTTCACATTCAGAAAGTGAATCTGAAGATTGCAAATCAAGAAGAGTTTTAGCACATTTCATATATTTGCCATTTCATTTCAAACCATCAGTAATATTTGTTTTTTACTAATGCAGGATAGAGGTCTGGACCTACTGTCAGAAGAATCTGCTGCCCAGGATCCAAGAAGGCACTCTAGAAGCTTGGATTGCTTATTCCACACCAGCACCATCAAATTACCGTCAACTTTTATCCTTATTTCTGACGTGCTGTTGCATTGCTGGATCAGTCGGAGGCCTCTTCTATTGCTGGATGTTTTCCTCACTCCAGTATTCATCCCAGTTCTCTGCTGCAGCTTCCCTAGTCACTGGCCTGGTAGTTTTGTGGACCCTCTTTTTGGTTCACCCTGCCCGTTGCATGTTCACTATAATTGGGCCTACATTAGGGACTAGACAAGGGCGGAGATTGCTCCTCTCTGCTTGCTTCGTGACTGTAGCTGTCAATATCATTCCAAACATCATGGGCAACATCCAGGCCATACTACAGATCATTAAATGCATATGCAAGGATTCTTCTGAGAGCCTTCTGGCCTCCACCTTTTTGCTAAGCAATGCTTCACTGGACTTCAGTCATTCTCTCAGGGAGGTGCCGGACAAGTTGCCTGACAAATTATGGACTCGGAGGGACAGCCATATCCATTTTAAAACCCAGAACAATAACTTCTTACTTCATCAGAAAATGGCCAGTGCTAGCCAAGGAATCAAGGAAGATTTCATGCAAGCTGAAGTGGTTGTCCAGAAGGTCATGCTGTTGGCCAACCGGGTATCTGCTGGCTTCTTCCTTTGCTGTCTCATATATGAATCAGCTTGGTACTTGAAGAGTTATCTCACTGATCTCCAATTTGATAATATTTACATTACTCAAAAACTAGAAGATTTGCTTCAAGAGAAGAGAGCAACTCACTTGCTGGCTTATTCCTCTGGGAAGCTGATCAAATCAACTGGTCTCAAGCTAACTCGAGAAGAAATCATGACTTATTTAACCCACATTTTCCTTCTTACCTTGGTGCTGATGTTGACGGTGATAACCATAGCAACAGATTATATTGCCTTCCATTTGGCTCAAGCAGCTGTGACTGAAATCACTCAGCTCCCCATAGTGCCAGTTAGCTTCCAGATAAAATATGACGTAAGTATTGAAACTTCATAATAAAGCTAACTTAGAGCCAGACTACACCGACCATATGCCTTGAAATATGCTGCAGTGTTAACAAATGCAACATACAGTCATTTGGTAGTCACATGGTCTTAGAATCGTAATGTGTGTCTCCTGGGGCAACTGCTCCTCCAGATTTTTTTAATGGAGCCAGCATGTTAGTGCTTTACTGCACCTTTCCCAGGACTCCGATGGGAAGAATGGGTACCAGGTGGTCCTCTGCTAAGGGCAGCAGTGGCAACTGCTGGTAGCAGCAATTTTCCAGCAGCTCCAATGGGGAGAATCATTTCCCACTTGTGGGGGGCTAAAACATTCCTTCCTCCTCCTCCTTCACAAGCCTTTGTGAGGAAGGGAGCAACACCAAACCTTTTTCTCCTTTCCCTCTTCCCAGCCCAGTTGGGCATACCTTCTCTAGGTTCAATTTAACTTGAATTTCACTATTAAATATGTTTCGCACAGCCACCACAAACTAGGAATTAATATAGTGTCTGATTTCTCAGCCTTGGATTTAGTTCCGTGATTGGGATGCTGGTACTGAAAAAGCTGTGTGTCATAGACTTGCTCACCTCTTATCTTTGTATGGTGAGGCAAACAATGGGGCCTCCACTTAAAGATCTAAGATTCTGGTCATGTTCAGGGTGTGTCAAATGTCTGGGTTTGAAGCCATTTAGGATTCTGTAGGTCAAAACCAACACTCTGAAGTTATCTCAGTAGCGAGCAAGAAGCCAGTGCATGTGGTTTGAGATTGTCCGTATACATACTTTACTGTGGTTGGTTCTTGTGGGTTTTTCGGGCTCTTTGGCTGTGTTCTGAAAGTTGTTCTTCCTAATGTTTCACCAATCTCTGTGGCTGGCATCTTCAGAGGACAGCACTGAAGATGCCGGCCACAGAGACTGGCGAAACGTTAGGAAGAACAACCTTCAGAACACGGCCAAAGAGCCCGAAAAAACCACAACAGCCATTAGATCCCGGCCGTGAAAACCTTCACAAATACATTTACTGTGGTTCCCAAACATTTTAGACTCAGGAATTCCTTGACTTACTGGCCATGGCTCCCCAATACATTTGGGCTGTCATTTACATGAGATAAGTGCCTGCAGTTTCATTTAGCTACTGCCTGAAAAATAATAATAATTAAAAAATAATTTTAAAAATCCAAGGTGTATCACTAGGGCAGGCCACTAGATGGAAATAGAGAGTAAACTATATACAGGTAGCTTAAGCAGTGGTCCCCAACCTTTTCCGAACTGCGGACCGCTTTAGCGGGGGAGGGTGAGGAGAAGCAGGGTCTGTGTGGGTGTGGGTAGGGCATGTCTGTGTCCATGGGTGGGTGGAGCATCTGGGGGTGGGTGGTAGGTGGGTAGGGTGTCCGTGCGTTCGTGGAGGTGTGTGCATCTGTGCATCCATGAGTGGGGTGTGCATGTGACTGTGCGTGTATGTGAGGGGCATACATTTGTGGGGGATTATGTGGGGGTGTGTGGGAGATCTGTCTCCATGGCCCGGTTCTGCCAAAGTCACGGCCCAGCATTGGGCTGTGGACCAGGGGTTGGGGAGCCCTGGTTTAAGGGACAAGTCCTCCTGGCCTGACTTCTCTGAAAGACATAGCTTGCATGTGTGCCAGGATTCCCTCTGTGCAGCATACAGGGACACCAGAGAAACTGCAAGTAAATGCTGTAGTATACTATGGGTGAGGGAGGAAGATGGGAGGGAGGAAGAAGGAGGAGATTCCATGGCGCCCCAGGGAAACACAGCACACAGTTGGAAAACCATGGGTATACTAGATCAGTGGTTCTTAACCTTGGGTTACTCAGGTGGTTTTGAACTGCAGCTCCCAAAAATCCCAGCCAGCACAGCTGGTGGTGAAGGCTTCTGGGAGTTGCGGTCCAAAAACACCTGAGTAAGCCAAGGTTAAGAACCACTGTACTAGATAACAGACTGGCAAATGCATTTTACGCTACTTGTACCTTCTCCACACCTTTCAGGAACAGCTTCATGTAGAGCACATTACAGTAGTCCTATCTAATATAGAGCCCCTTCATCATATACAAGGCATTGCAGAACTCTAAGAATGACCTCTATAATTATCCTGATGTCTTCTTTTTTATCATTTTAGGTGAAGCTAAATTTTTTACCATTTTTGCCATATGTTCTTAATAACAATATTCATATGGAGCTGTCCAAATCATCATTTCAAAGGAGTTACCATCATAATCTGACCTTTGTCTCTGCTAACTGCCCCATAAGATACCCAAATTCCCCAAACACAGGTGTGATCCTTGCTGTTGGGCTCCTCTACTGCCTTATCCATGTCATGGTATTTTTGGAAATGTACTCACATAGACTATGCCGAAAAATTGCAGCTTCTTTTTTTGAGAACCAAGAAGACAATAGAGTCCAATACCTCTACAAGAAGCTTGTTTGGAAGCATGAGACAAAAGAGAAAGAAGGACAGCAGAAGGAATCAACAACCGCATTTTGATGAACTGCTGGATGGGAAGTGTGAGTGTGCTTTGTTTAATGATAACATGAAAATAATCATATGATGTTATGGACCTTCATTGTGAGCTCACATCTTTTTGGCATGATTAATTCTCATGGAATTCAGGGGGAATTGATGGATTGGATCCAGACTTGGTCACACTTTGTACCTATTGAAATCGATAAGATATAGTTTGATCAGGAGTAACTTAAGACCCATTTGTTTTTATTAATCTATAACTTCAAATCCAAATCCAAATCATGGCATTCTGAATATGTTGTCATCAGTCTTCAGTTGCCCAGAAAGCAAATAATTTCAAGGCCTCTTAGTTCATGATGTTTTATCAAACTTGGATACATTCTGTCATCTTTTTTCATACAAAAAACATCATCTAAAAACAGCAATCTTATAGGAAAATCTCTCACTATTTGCACTCTGGAGGGCCAATGTGATAATGCTGTGCCTCCCAAAATGTGTCCTGCCACCTGCAACTGATTTACTAATTGCTAAGGGCTAAATGACTCAAAGCTATGGTTTTTCCAGTAGTGATGTATGGAAGTGAGAGCTGGACCATAAAGAAGGCTGACCGCCAAAGATTTGATGCCTTTGAATTGTGATGCTGGAGGAGGCTCTTGAGAGTCCCCTGGACTGCAAGGAGAACAAATCTATCCATTCTGAAGGAAATCAACCCTGAGTGCTCGCTGGAAGGACAGATCCTGAACCTGAGACTCCAATAATTTGGACATCTCATGAGAAGAGAAGACTCCCTGGAAAAGACCCTGATGTTGGGAAAGTGTGAAGGCAAGAGGAGAAGGGGACGGCAGAGGACGAGATGGCTTGACAGTGTCATTGAAGCTACCAACATGAATTTGACCAAACTCCGGGAGGTAGTGGAAGACAGGAGGGTCTGGTGTTCTCTGGTCCATGGGCTCACGAAGAGTCGGACATGACTTAACAACAAACAACAAAGGGCTAAATGTATGGCATGAACTCATGGACTTTAACACAGACTAATGTAAAAAACAACAACAACCAATCAGCAGCTTTTGAAATACTAATTAATTGCAGGATGTTAAGGATTTCTTATATTGAGATGGTGTCCCTCAAAGTAGTATCAACGTGAATAAGTAATGGCCAAGAAATTGTTTAAAATCCATGACGGCAAACGAAAAGCACAGAGGGAAATATCCTGTTGATATTTATCATGTACAGAGCTACAATTGCAAGAGTAGCTATTTATTGATTGCGTAAATTCACCGTCAATGCTAATTGTGGCCATAATCCAGGAAAAAAATGCACACACAGGTAAACCTTGATATCTCTGATGGAAGGCAAGAGAGGGTAAATGCTAGGTTTTGCCTGCGGTATTTATTCAAGTGTAACTGCTTTCCCTGACCTTGAGCCCTCCAGATGTTTAAGACTACATATCCCATCAACGTCAGGCATCATGGTGAGCAGCAAGGAGTGGCGAAGGGAGGAGTCTAGAATGTCAGAAGGGCTGAGATTGGAGACGTCTGAACTGAAATTAAATTTCTATATTTTTATTCTCAAAATAATTAATTTATTAAAAATAAAGGAACAACAGGTACATAATTGTAAAACATGGTTTATTTCCCGCATTTGATCAGTCCGTGGGCACAGAAGTGATGGTAAACATGAAATAAATTATTGGTGTGGATTAAGTGTTTTTACTAGAACTAAAAGTGTCTCACCCACCTCGGAAAAGATGTGCTGAGCTGAGTTTCCAGCTGTGATCTGTTCACTTATCATCAACTAGCAGGTATGCAATCTCTTTTTATGATATATTGCTAAGCTTTCTTGTGAGATAAAGATGATTTTAGTGTCAGTAATTCAGTGTAATTCCAGAGAATCTATAAATCTCCAGTGGCTCAGGAGATTGGGTTGGGAAAGGAAAGCTCTGGCTTAGAAATGCATTTTTTTTGCTTCCAATATATTTGTATATGATGCCACAAATCTGGCACTGAAGATTGTGTGCATGGGTAAATCTGAGTCCAGCTACAGCAATATATTGGCCATCCATTTGACAAAATTATTTCACTGGTCTTATTTTACCTTTACTGAGCCTTGCTGAAGTGTTGCTGAGACCTCTTGTAGAGACAGAGTATCTCACGTGTACCACTAGAAAGATAACCTCTGTACAATATTGGGTATAAGAAGAGTTTCTGAGCAAAAAGGTTTAAGGCTAAATATTTACTAGAGAATGAGCAAAGGTTCGGAGTATATACATTTGTGTTTTTGAGCAGGTACAAGATTCTCAGTAGGGATGAAAATTCCTGGTTTATCATTGTATGTTAAGGAAAAAAGTGTGGGGGGGAAACACCTCAGTGAACACCCCATCCCACCCCACCCCTAAAATGCAACTAAACACGAAAGCAAAATCCTCAGTCCTCATGGAAATCAAGATTGATGGTGGGATTGGTCTCAGAGAGAAAGTGTCCATCTGCAGGATTAAATTTTTGTGCATTTCTATAAAGGTACAAAACTTGTAATTTCATGAGAGTTTTGAAGATTTAGTTAGAGGGCCTTAGACCTAAGAGAGGTACAGGAACCCAGGAGTCCCTAGCTGGGGAGACTGGTGAGACCGTATCATTTTAATGACTGATGTGGAGCATGAAATAACACTCTGTCCTGACCCAAGTCACAATGCATAAGACTCAAGGATAATCAAATTATTTGGCAAACATGTGTGTGTGTGTGGGGGGAATCTCACAAACTTTTCTCTATCTTCTGACAGGAATGATAAAATGATAATTAATTGTCTCAGGCAGCTGTCTCATTCTGCCTAATGGAAGGGATGGCCCTGTGTGACAGAGTTACTTGAAGCAACTGGTATATGACAGCTAACCCAGAAAGGTCATAATAATGGGTATAGCCTTAATACTGCACATTGTCACATTGAAAATGTCCGGCTGTTTCACAAACAAGTAAATCTCATCCAGCCTCCCTGAATCACATTTTAATTGGGCCTCCAGATGTTCTTGGACTTCAGCTCCCAGAAATCCTGACCAGCAGAGGAGGTGGTGAAGGCTTCCGGGTGTTGTAGTCCAACAACATCTGGAGGCCCAAGGTTGGGGACCACTGGTATAGAAGGTTTCGATACCCAGAAACATACAAAGAAAGAAAGAAAGAAAGAAAACTTTATGATATTGAAAGTGAAAATGGTACACAATAAAGCCAAAAATGGGTAATGCCTTGTAAAAAAAACTGTGACACTCTTAACTTAGACTCTTGTAGAATTTTCATAAAACTATGTGATGTTAGGAAACAATGGAACATTCCAAAGCAAACTTCCAGGCAAAGGCCTCAATCTAACTGTTCATCCTAATTAAAACAGACCCATTGCCTCAATGAGATTTAATGTATGTATTCATTTACCAACTTCTCAGTGATTCAATAGGTCTATTCTGGTTGGGACTAGCCAATTGTATATAAACCCAAACTTTTAACTATGCATTGCCCTGCCTCAGATGTACAATTTTAAGACGTTCCCAGTTGTCATCTTTCACTCGTAGGCCTTCTATGTTCTTTATATTTTCTTTTTCATAATTCAAACAATCTGTGAAAGAAAATAGTCAGAAAATCTGCAAAATATGATGTGAAGCATGAATCATTTATCTCACATCTCTGCAGAGGGAGTGCAAGTATGTACTCTTTCTTCATTTCTTCTTGAACTTGACTAGTTCCATCCATGAACTGAGGGGAGAATTATTCTGCAGAAATGGAATAAGCAACAAATATTGCCCTTTTCAGGTATGCACGCAGCTCACATGGAACAAGGAAACCATGCTATCCTCTCTCTCCCTCCATCATCCCATTCAGCACATACTATAAACACAAGAGAACAGCCTTCCTCTCTTCAGACACATTTTCATAATCAAAGTAATGGCAGAGGAGGGGAAGGAGAGAGTGTGCTGCTCACTGCATGCGGCCTCCGCTTGCTTTCGGTCTGTCTGCATGGGGCTAAAATGTGCACTAACTACAGAACAGCTCCTCCGCCCCCTCATACTTAAATTAAGAAGGGCAAACCCTAAATGCAGCCTACCTTTTTTGTTTGTTTGGAAATACATGGTTAGATGACTTCCCTCCCAGGTCCTTATTTGTTTTATTTTAAACACTGCCTCCAAAGTGGCAGCAACACTAATTACATTTTTTTTGCTTGCTTAGAAATTCCACACAGAACTAAAAGGGTGATAGTAATTATATGTAAGAACAGAAGCCTACCGTCATATGCCTTCCTATGCTCTGCAATCTAGCTATCGATATACAGGATGGTATCTCTCAAGTAAGCGAGTTAATATGGAAGCTAAACAGCTGCAGGGTTGAATAAAAGCCAGGACACCCACACCCATCATCTTTTTCAATTACAGAAGTCTGCTCCAGAATATATTTAGTTAAAAGAGCTGTGAATCACCTTTATTGTTTAACCATCTGAAGCTTTCAATAATATCATTAATAATAAAACATGCATCACACAAAACCAAAAGAACTATTCATTAGTAAGAGCCAAGCATAACATTAAAAACAGATTTTAAAGACTGTTTTAAAAAAAACCACACAAACATAGTACTGTACATATATAAAATGAATTCAAATTCCATATACAAGCTTAGTAAAAAAAAATTAAATTTAAAAAGCATTATCAGAAGGGCCATAGGTTTTGAACAGGTTTACTTATTATACAGAATGAGTTGGAAGAATCAAATTAATAGCCCCCTCCACATGCAAACTTTGAAGAAAGATATAGAAATTTGGGGATCCGGCTGTGAATAATGTGTGTCACATTTGTTTTGATCCTCGGTTTAACAGCAATATATAAAAGAGATTTGGGAAGACAGCTAAATGTGAAGGGCCGAGACCACAAGGTGCTGTCTATTTTATTCTCCATTTTTCCTTAGATTGTAATATTTTGAGAGTTCTTCTGCCTCAAAGGAGCTGAAATTTGCAGCTCTGTTCTGCTGCATATGACTATGTTCATTATTTACTGAGTTCCAAAGGTACAGTAATTTCACAGTCTCATTTTATTGTAAGTTACGAGCAGTAAGTCTTGTTTCACATCCAACTTATTGATATTGAAACCTCAATTATGTTATGATTTTATTATATCTTTTGGCTCTGTGGGTTTTTTTAATTTATTTATTAATGAAGCTGTAGAATAAGACTATAAATCCTCACTCCTCTCATGTTTCTACTAATCAAGGATGAAATACTGCAGAACAATTCTTTTTCTTTGACAAGAGAGCAAGAGTTTTTAAAAAAACATGAGAATAAGAAGGGTTCATTTCACAAATTAAGCAAAATTAGACTATCTGTCTGTCTATCTGATTGATTTATATACCACCCCATTACTACACATCGTTCTCTGAGCAGCTTACAAATTTAAACTGAAAAATCCCACAGACTGCACATCACAATACATAAGACAATATGACAATTAAAGAACACAGAAAAAAAACAAGAAAACACAAGAAGGAAAAAATAAAATACTAATATTAACAGCATCCAGGAATCTTGGTTGTTGAAGGCAGCTTTGATTAGTCCTGTTTAGAACAATTTCCTGAATGTACGAAGGGAAGGA